GTGCAACTGGTCAGTGTTGAACCAGCAAATATTGATTTTTAGTGACCTGCTTTTCATAAGTAACACATTAGCTGTGGGTCATGAAATGAAGGCTTCATGAGCCAGACATGTGGATTAGAGCCAGATGCAAATAAAGCCAAATAAAATTATTAAATACTAAATATAGTATGGCTGGGCAATACAGTGATATAGACCAATGAACTACCTACTGAAATGGTTAAGTTGGATCTGGCGGCACGAACGAATGCAGCTGCCGCCCTCTCTCTCTGAGTTGTGTGCCTAAAAATGTGTTATAGTGCATCTTCGCGTTTGTTGCATTTATGTTCTAGTGCGCGTAGTTCAACGTCTACGTTGCGCCCAAGATACAGTCGCCACTGCCTTGTGGATATAGGATTGTTAGGGATTTTTAGTCAGATAGAAATTGGTTAGATACTTTATGTATTAGAAATGTTTAGTGGAGATAGGATGTCTAGTTAGACTGTTAAATGCTTAGTCATGCTTATGAGTTTCTACAGGGTACATCTGGTCAAGGATAACTAGAGAGAAGAGTTGATGACTGTCAGCAGACAGGATGTTTAATATTATTATTATGACGTGTATAACTGTAGCCTTAGCCATAATATGTTCTTATGTTTAAGTCACGACATGTACTAGAGGTCGTGAGAATGTTTTTAGTTACACACCACTTAATCAACAGACACACACACATTGATTTACTTCATGTTTTGACTACTGCTATGACCAGCTGCAAAGCTGGCACCAGAGACATCTCGGTTGACGTTCCTGTGTAGTATGGGGCTAGCCCAACCGAGGGGATATAATGTATAGGCCTGGTGGGTTCAGGGTCTTTCATCTTACATCTGCCTGCGAGCAGTTTGGAGCGTGTAATGTTAATTTTACCTGTGATCCTTTGAATAAATCAGCACTGTTTTGAAGTCTTGTCTCTCAGAGTTAGCAATGGTAAGAAGAACCATAGTCCTTCAACACCAATCTGACACTTTCTCCCCTGTATGATTCTAATACCTCATTTCAGGGTATCTGTTAATACAGTGTGCTCTTACCCTCACATTTAAAAGCTACATGGAAACCTTTGGATCATTTTGAAATAAAGCAACATGAGGCCAGAGTTTGCAGTGGCACTGAACACTGAGTCAGGGGCTACGGTGACTAAATGAATGCAGCCTGCAGACAAAACACTGAATTTATTTATGCGAACCTGTCCTGTCATGGCTGATACCAAATCAGCTCAATAAGGTCATTATCTGCACTGACACCAATCATGGATTTTCAGATCTTTAGATACCTGCTGATTGTGCCACACATTCTCTACCTACAGTAAGTACCTAATGATCTCTGGTTGTATTGGCCCATTTCAGGAAATGTTACAATCACTGTGAAAAGCACATTTTTTATTTTAAATTATGCATTTAATTCACCAGATTGACAAAACAGACATTTAAACAAACACTGTCTCCATTAATTACTTCCTAAGTTAATTTCTAGAAGATCTGACTAATATCATAATGGTGTTATATAAAATGACATTTTCAGTACCATGAAAGAAAATTTTATCTAAGCTATACTACCCACATCTGGGGGGAAAAAACAAACAAATGCAACATTATTTTAAGACAGTTAAAATTTTGACCCACAAAGATTTTTTTCCTTCAGGCTGTGACAAACCTGTTATGATAAGGTGTATTTTGAGAAAACTGAAATACTTTAGTTTGAATATGGCTGGATACTAGATTGTATATATTTTATTACACTTTCCACATGACCTTGAGTTTCAGACTATTAATATGACTAGGCTGGAATGGTGTAAATGGATGTCTGTCATGATTTGTTGGGTGGTGGCTCACAGCAACAAATGTCTAGATGCCCGCGCCTAAAAATATGAATGATAATCAAAATACCAACAATCATTGTATTACTCTGGTTAAGACTATAATGGGCTTATGTTCAGCAATCAGCTTAAACTATTAAATAACTGGTCAAAATGGTTATTTGCCATATTGACAAAGCCTAGCCAATTATGAATGCAAATGAGTAGACATGAATATTAGGGTTCCCTAAGAATGCTTATGGTCAATCTTACACTGATGTGTGGAAAAATGTCCAAAATCATCCTCAAGGACATGTTAACCAACACATGCTGCATTTTTTTTTGGTAATACAGATTAGCAGCTGCCTCACTGTCTGTGTCAGACAACTGTGTAACATTATAATTCTCAATATAGCTTCAAACGTAACCAACACTGCTCTCCACCAGCTGTAGACTCCCATTTGATGCCAATTATAACATGAGTCCTGCCTTAAAATGGTGCCCATCATCCTTACTGCAGCATACAGCAAAGACAATCCCCAAATCAGTCATGCTTTCTGAACACAGAGACAGACATCGACATTAACAGTAAACGCCACGTTATATTCATCATGATCACATCATGCCATTTGATAACCCCCAGAGGCTGCCAGTACATTGCTACTCACAACCGTTCTTTGTAAGACGACGCTTTCTCGCTCCCTGAGACGGCTGTACACAGGAAGCAGCCTGGGCTTTTATCAGCTCGTCTTTTAGCAGTGGTGTCGCAGTAACGTTATGTGGAATGGAGGAACAGTACGTGTGTGCGGCAGCAGGCTGTGATTTCTCTCGCTGGCCATTTTGAAGTGCAGAAAAGCAGAAGCAATCTGATGACACTGCGCTAACTCGCAGGACTGTTTCTCTGCTTGACAGCGTAACGTTACGGCCCCCTCAGTGATTTCAACCTATTTATTTTCCAGCCAGCTACAATTTACATGCTCGACGTTACATGTCTGGTAGGCCATTCATCTTTTACGATGATAATGATGGCTAATACTGGTTTTACCACAGCAAGCAGGCTAGCAGGCCAATCACGTCTGCATGGCATTTCTTTGACGCTGTTGAAAGAATGAGCAATGATGTTTTTCATTTTCTATCAACGGTGCTCTTTGATAGAATACGTATTATGTGATCCTTAAACATGATTACACTAAACAACGGTCGAGTGTGAAAATTAGTTTAGCCGTTAACGCTAGTTAATACGTTAACGTTCACACACTAATGACCGCCCAGCCAACCACCGTTAAACGACTGTAACGTTAACTAGGTAGGCAGTGTTAAAATGCCATTATTATTACCTTGAAGCGACCAGCTTATGAGAATTATACTTAAATGTGAGCTAACAGCTCTTAGGCCCTCGACACACTCAATGTCAGTAGTAAAAAAAAAAAAAAAAGTAATTAAGACAGTCGGCTAACTAGCCACCAAGGAATGTTATTTACCGAACTACATGATCTTGAATATCGCTATTCAAAAACAGGTAGGTAGAGGACGCTGCTACCTGGCTAAGCTAATCCAGCTAGCGTTAGCCTCCCTGTAAAGTTCACTGCACTCGCTCTAATGAACTGCTAATCCCCATTTTCCAGATACTATCAAATGCATCGCGTATCTCGTCAACACGGGGATCGTAAGACTACCAATATATGCCGGTTTCAGATTCTGTCTACCTTTAGGATGGGATATTCTTGGACTTTGAGAGCCATGGACAGTTGGGATGCTGTTTCTTGTACCGCCATCTTGGTTTAGTGGTTTTCTTGTGGTTGTTTGTGTTTTTTTTTTCTATCAACTCAGAATGGCCTTAGTCCTCACTACCGCCATCTGGTGGGGTGGTGTCAGCACTGACCGTGTCTGGATATGTGTGTGTGCTTTATTTAAATCATTCAGATGATTTTATCTAAATGGACTACAACTAAAATGATGTTAATTCAAGGTGTAAAACATTTCACCGATTTTAACTTATGTTCTCAGGCTTTCAAACACATCACATCATAGTCATCAGTTCTTCTGATTTCATCCATGGACCTGTAAAGACTTAAATTTCCAATTTTTCTAACAACTTCAAACTTGCTCACAATCTGAGCCATTTAGCAAACTTACCTGCACAACTAATTCAGTCTGTGAACAATGTGGGTTGAGAGTAAGAGCACCCAAATTTTGGTGTAAATTGCTATTGAAACTAAATCAGACTACAGTAAATAATGAACAAACAAATCAGTCTGTGTTGTTAACCACACGTTTCTGTATTCCCTAGGGCTCCTGAATTTATTATCTACTTCAAGCAGAGGTGAGTCAGAGCCTTATCAATCGCTCATTACATTTACATAGAACTGTAGCAAGATCAGATTCCTGGTATTCTAATAGCATCTATCGTTGCTCAGCAGACAGTATTATAAGAAACCTCATTTTTATGGGGAGTTGCACAAAAAGAGCTGCATTTTCAAGAAACAAGGAAACACATTTTATTATTTACTAACAGTCATTACTAAATGAGAAGGAACAAAATGAAAGAAATCAACTGAGTGGGAAGCCTGTTGTTAGCAAGAATGAAGAAATCCAAGATTTAAGGAATCCTAAATGATGTTTATTTGGAATCCACTGAGGTCGAAGACCATAACCTGAGGTAAAGTGGAAAACCCTTGAAAGGAATAATATTTTTATCACCATAATATTTTACTACACAAATGATGAAATTAAGTAATTCTGAAAAAAAGAGCCAGCCCTTTTTGGGTATCTTTTTACTACAAACAATTAGGAAAGATACTGTAGAATTTCTAGTCTGTTTAGATGTTTATAATAGAGGCTGCAGTCCAAATAAATCCCCCTACCCCTGTTCCATATCATGGCCATTTCTTTTCTTGCACAAGTGAGGGT